TCTCCCGAAGGTTCGAGAAAGAAGTGGCGTGATACTAGTCACGTGACCTCGCTGACGCAACACAAGGTTTGCATTACCCTCGAAACATTGTGATTTTATCATATTTTTGGACACGAGTACATTTGGTCAAATATTTTTTTTTCTTATCCGAAAATTGATCAAAATATAAATCTAAATTTTTTAGGACTTTCATGAATATTTTTTGAAGGTTTATTCAGAGAATTGTCCGAAATCTCTTACTAGTGTATGCTTATCAGTTGCAAAAACATAACAGTTTTAAAAAATGGGTCTATCGGTTAGTATTCACAGACTGTGACTCCTGGGGCTTGTGGTTCGAGATACGTTGCCACAAAGAACTCCTTTTATCTTTTTAGGGATTTGAGGGCTTTAAAAGAGCGATTTTCAATCATACAAGAGTAACCTAAGAGTTGGCAATGGGTGCTGTAGATAAGAAACTTTCCCTCTAGTTTATAAATTCCAAATTAGGGATGGCTAGGTGCAGATAACATTGTGCAGCTTTGTGCTTATACAACAAACAAAGTTCCCCTGGTTATTCATAAGTAAGCCTGAGGCTTTATAACGTTAGATGTCAGGGTTTGTTTCCCTCGTAGATGACCCATTCTTCATCTGTGCACTAAAAGAAACAAATTTATTACAAAGCTATAAAACAGCTTAGTAGAAATTTCCAATGCAAGAGTGTTTTAATTGGGGTACTTTTATGGAAAGTTAGGCTTAGTTCGTTGTATACAAAATAAAGCTACTTCTTCAACATTACGCATATTTAGGTGACCGTTTTGTTGTTTTAAACCGTTATGATTTTCACAGATCAAATATTTGGAATGTATTCCATTTTCTATTTTTTGCAACGTGTCAATGAAGATTTTAAAACACGTTCTTGCATCAAACCCAAGATATTGTGGTCCATGGAGAAGAACTTGGATAAAACACCAATCACTGTCCAACTTTCCAATCAAAAACTTCGATAAAACACCAATCACTGTAAGTTCTTGATTGGGGAGTTGCACAGTGATGTTTTATCCAAGTTCTTGATTGGGGAGTTGGGGATAAAACACCAATCACTGTCCAATTCCCCAATCAAAAACTTGTATAAACATTAATGTCCAGCTCTCCAACCAAGAACTTGTATAAACATCAATGTCCAGCTCCCCAACCAAGAACTGGGATAAATATCCATGTCCAACTCCACATTCAGGAACTTGGAAAAACATCAATGTCCAGCTCCCCAACCAAGAACCTGGTTAAAACATCAATGCCCAACTCTCCAGCCTGAGTACTTCTTCTAAATATCATCGAAATTGGTTTAGCAATTTCCCCACACGAATCGGTGACGCCAAGATACAAGACAGACAGACAACTTTTTTATATAAATTTTAACTACTTTCAGAAGTCTTTGTCGTTTGCTCTACATTTTATGTAACGAAAAGCAATTTTCAATTCAAACCCAATTACGAAAAAGAAAAAAATAACAGTTAAAACATTACCTCGTTACTAAGGGGGGGGGGGTCTGAGTAAAACGTGGGGAATAATGAACATTTTGAAGAGTTGACATCTGTAGTCCTTGGTAGGTGGAGTTTTTCACCCCCAAATACTGACTTGTTTTTATACCGGTCACTAACGGTGGGGTTATTTTATGTTAAATGTTTTGCACTCGGTAAAATTGGGGTGATTTTTTTTAGAAGGGATCCAAGCAGCCACAATTAGGGAGATTAATTATAATATTAATGATAATTTTGCACCTGATTCCACTGGTATAAAGAATCCTGTAACCAACAAAGTCTTGGGCTCACAAGTAATTAACAGAAAAAAGTTCACTGTATCTCTTAAAAAGTTAAGCCTAGTTACTGAAAAACACTCCAGTGCTGTAATCACGCTATGGATTGGAATGACCATCAATCTATTTATGTGTCTCATTTGAATCTAAAGCACAATAGTCTTATGCTTAACAACAAAACAAACAGTTTTAACCTACTTACTTGTCGTTGGACTGAGTTGGTCAGCAGCCGTCCTAGGTCACAGATGTTGACCTCTCTCAAAACTGGATATTATTTTATGTTCCTGTAACATACGGCTATTATTAAAATTAATTATTCAAAAACGATTTTCAGTTAAAGCGACCTCTGACGAAATCACTTATGTTATCAACCTTATTCCGCTCGTCGTTATAAGTTAGTGTGTGTTTTAACTAAGCTTTTGTGGACATCAAAATGTACTATAAACTTATATAATATGATCGCAGATCTTCCAAACCAAGTATACCTAACTAAAAAAAACTGTCAACTGGCGATAACATTGCAAGCGCGTATAGCATAACACTATACCGCAAAACTGGACATTAAATTTGTCACTGCAGATGCTAGGAAATGAATGTTGACATTCTGGTCTACGTGATTCGTATCTGCTGGTTCATCTCATGTTGATACATTTTAAGCCTATTATGTAGTTTACAACGTCTCTTGAGAGGCTTCGTCAAGCCACAATGCCAGGGTTTGAGTATGTGTGTATTAATTATAGATTATTACGAAATTATAGCTAGTTTCTAAACAACATACTTCACTCTTGTTTGATTTGTTTAGTAATTAGCTGAATCTAGCTGGATTTGTTCGAATAATGATCTCAGACATAACTGAACGTGCCCACGTTATGTTTCTGCTAATCAAGGATATATGTTCAGCTGTGAAGCAAATCTGAACCATTGTTATCTGGCGTCAATCTATATTTTATCAGAGAATAATTATATGTAGAAATAAATATAGTTTGTAACGATATTTAATACAAAATAACCTATATCAATGATATATAAATGTATACATATATATAACTAAAGAACAGCCACAATATTTCAACGTTTCGTATTAGGTGATAACTCATAGAGTAAAGGAGTAGCCGCATAGACGGCGGGTGCTGTCGATTAGTTGCCCACCGGTTCTAATTTAGGGAAGGCCGTACCTTAACATTAAAGGTCGTTGACCTTGCCATTTTCCCCCACGTCTCACATAAGGTTCAGGTTGAAAATACCATTATCAAACCAAATAACAAATCATCGCCCTCTAGCGTAAGTTTCATAAGGTAAACATAACAGAACAAAATTTTTTAAAGAATCATTAATGCTCTCTTACGACTCGAAAAATTACAGATGGAGAGTAACTATGAAAACATGTTCTAGTAATTCGATAAGTAGTAATTATAAAAATATGTCTTCCAATTATAAGTATGGAAAATAATACGCCCCTTTTCTTCATAATATAATGCTAACTATTACTTTATCAATATAAGTAAATATGGTTTCATTTTAATTAATTTAATTAACATTCCTTTCAAATTTTGTAGATTGCAAATGCATATGTATCGAACGTTGTCTCACTCAAATATCCTAAGATAGTTTATAACTAACTAGATGTTGATATATATATATATATATTAAACACCTAGATTCTTTCATGTAGCGCCACCTAGATAAATATACAGTAACCATATAGAATCAACTTTGGTTGTCTCATGTCATGCCAACTAGAAAAGCAGTATCCATAGAGCACCAACCCATGGTGTCACGTGTAACGACACCTACAGAAATGTACAGTAACCACACAAGACCAACCTTGGTTGTCTCATGTAGCGCCACCTAGATAAATATACAGTAACCATAGAGAATCAACTTTGGTTGTCTCATGTCATGCCAACTAGAAAAGCAGTATCCATAGAGCACCAACCCATGGTGTCACGTGTAACGACACCTACAGAAATGTAC